CAAGAAAAAAGAAAAATAATTGATTCATCGAATTTAAACTCATCCAAATTGTTTGAATTATGTAAGCTAGACGTCCAATTTGTCTCAGACGACTGGCGTTAGGAGAGAAGGCACGTGAAGCCTAGAGGGGTCACGCGCTCCCTTCACCTTTTGAGAAAGTATGCTTATGCCTATAATATGAAATTTTATATAGCTATTTTCTTCACCTTTTTTCTTTAAAAAAAAATATTTAATTTGTTACTTTAAATATTTAATCATGCTAAAAAACATTCTTATAAATTTTATATTAGAGAAATATTATATGTTGTCCATTTTTTATCACTACTTTATATCACATCTTATATGAATACTTGTAGTTGGTTCATTTATTTACAGATAATTATTACATAATTAATGACAACTAATAATATATTACCATTTAATTAAGTAATTCCAAATGATAAAAAAAGAAAAGAAAAGCAAGTGATATATTGTCACGGCCCGCTCCCCGTATCCAAGAGTTAAGTATCGTGATGGCCAGTAACTGAAGTTACCTCCGGCCAATTCTTGAACAAATAAATAAACGCGAGCGGAAATAATATTTAAGTGAGGGTACCAAAATAATCATCGGAACTTCTATTTTTATTACAAAATTTATTGACCAAAAAGACCGATACTTACATATAAACATATCATAAGAGTGTTGTATGTATCTATTCCACAACCCCACATCTAAGACTTTCCAAAAGTTATTTCTAAATTGCATTGTTTCCCGAAAATTGGTAAACAACTATAAGCACATGGCAGAGTGAGAAATATTATGTCAATAGTATAAAGGATACAAAATAACCATGGATAGTTATGTAACTAAAATATTTAAGATAACTTAGTCTGAACAAATAATCATTTAAGCAGCAAAACTGAGATTATGTAAATAAATAACCATAACCATTGTACCAAACAGAACAGAACAGAGGGCATAGGAGTGACAGTCAGAACAGAGGTACGGATTCAATAGGTGGTTCATACGGATTATAGAGGCGGCTCCCACAGTAGTGTAACACTTATCTCCGCACAGAATAGAGGTCAATAGATCTATGACAATAGAGGGCCATAAAGTGACCAAACAGATATCAATGGTTATTTAAGTCGCCAAGGCGTGGGACTCTCGTGGTGGTACTTACAAAGCATAATTGTTTGCAAAATCATTGTCAAATAATCATTAAAAGTTAAACAAACATATCCATAGGCTTCATTTAAAGCTTAGAAAATAATCAACGTAATTAAAATATAAATATAAGTTATAAAATATAACTTGTATAAAATGAATTATGGTAACTAAAAATATACGTAAAATATATTACAGTGACTCAAGATATAATATAACTCACCTTGAAATTAATACCTCATTCTTTCTTTCTACCATTAAAATCTTCTTAACTTTCATTACTTTCTTTCCCTTTCTTTATTTGTTTTTTCCCTCCTCTTGTTCCCAACTCTTCCTTTTATACAAGATGCAAGGCTTGCTAAAACGCATCTACCCCTCCATTTAGCTACTATCACTAGCTCTACAATTGATGAGTTTAACTTAGTTATTTATTTATACTTTGACCTCTAAATTCTTAATAATTATATTATTTTACAAAATTACACATAATAATACAAAATAAATCGTATATTTTTCCAACTGTGGTTAAATAATATTAGTATAAATTTTACAGAATAATTAAAAATTTGGGTTGTTACAATCTTCCCTCCTTTTAAAATTTCATTCTCGAAATTTGTTATATGTGTAAGCTATCTGATGCATATTAGATGATTAATTTGATAGAAAATATTACCTCAAAAACTTTACCAAAAACAACTCACTGTTTATTTGTCAAAATTTGTTTTGGGCCAGAATGAGAAACAATCGGTAACTTTAAAAACTTTTCATTGGTTTTATTTCTAAAAAGAGAACATAATTAAACAAGCGACTGGAAATGAAATAACAAAATCACATGCAAGAGTTGAAAGAATTTGAGATGAACTCCTATTTCTTGTGAACTTTCCATTGATGGAAAATAGTTTCAAAATTAGTATCTTTACAATTTGAACCCACTTTTAAAAAGTCAAAATGAATTTTTTTTTTTGAATACTGAACTGGAAATTATATGTATTTAATTATATTATAATTTTGGTGGGTGCTTGAGCCTGACACCCTTTGTTTCTTTTCCTTCTTTTATTATAACAAATATAAATTGTATTTAATATCCTTCACAAATTATTCACACACACACACAAAAATATATATATATATATATATATTATATATATATATATAAAGTCATATAAAATTATACTAATATAATTAAAAATCATATAAAATTATAATATAATTAAATCGACTAACAAAATAATTACCTGTTATCCTATTTCTTAAATGTGTGTGTCTCCTATGCTCCAATGATGATTTTTTTTTTTATTTATTTATTTTATAAACCATTACTCTGATACCATTTGTCACGACCCGCTCCCCGTACTCAAGGGTTAAGTATTGTAATGGACAGTAACTGAAGTTCCATTCGGCCAATTCTTGAACAAATAAATAAATGCGAGCGGAAATAATATTTAAGTGAGGGTACCAAAATAATTATCGGAGTTTCTATTTTTATTACAAAATATATTGACCAAAAAGATCGATATTTATATATAAGCATATCATAAAAGTGCTGTGTGTGTCTATTTCGCAGCCCCGCATCTAAGACTTTTCAAAAAATATTTCTGAATTGCATCGTTTCCTGAAAATTGGTAAACAGCTATAAGCACATGGCAAAGTGAGAAATATTATGCTAAGAGTATAAGGGATACAAAATAACCATGGATAGTTATGTAGCTAAAATATTTAAAATAATTTAGTCTGAACAAATAATCATTAAAGTAGCAAAACTGAGATTATGTAAATAAATAACCATAACTACGGTACCGAACAAAATAGAACACAAGTCACAGGAGTGACGTCAGAACAGAGGTACGGATTAAATAGGTGGCTCGCACGAATTATAGAGGTGGATCCCACAGTAGTGTAGTACTTATCTCTGCACAGAACAGAGATCAATAGATTTATGACAATAGAGGGCCACAAAGTAACCAAATAGAAGCAAATAGTTATTTAAGTCCCCCAAGGCGTGGGACTCCCGTGATGATACTTACAAAATATAATTATTTGCAAAATTATTGTCAAATAAACATTAAAAGTTAAACAAATATATCCATGGGTTTCATTTTAAGCAAATAGAGTTTAGAAAATAATTAATGTAATTAAAACATAAATATAAGTTATAAAATATGACTTGTATAAAATAAATTATGGTAACTAAAAACATGCGTAAAATATATTATGATGCCTCAAGATATAATATAACTCACCTTAAAATTAATACCTCACTTTTTTTTCCACAATCAAACCTTCTTAACTTGCATTATTTTCTTTCCCTTTCTTTATTTGATTTTTCCCTCCTCTTTTTCCCAACTCTTCCTTTTATATAAGATGCAAGGCTTGCTGTGCAAGCTTTAGGTGACACGTAGCCACCCACATACCCCTATTTAGGCCTCGTTTGGCAAGAGACTATTTTAGCCAATTAGTCAAAAAGTTACTAAATTAGCCAAAAAGCCAACAACCCATACCAAAAAGTCAAAGATTCTCTTTTCTCTCTACCTTTTGCACATCTTTTCGTAATTAGCCAAAAAGTCATCCCAAACATACAAGTTTTTTTTACCTACCTTTTTAGCCAAATAGCCAAAAAGTTATTAAATTAGTCTGTTCCCAAACGAGGCCTTAGTTGCTTAAGCTCTACAATAGATAAGTTTAACTTAGTTATTTATTTATTTATACTTTGATTCATAAATTCTTAATAATTATATTATTTTATAAAATTACACATAATAGTACAAAATAAATCGTATATTTTCTCAACTGTGATTAAATAATATTAATATAAATTTTACAGAATAATTAAAAATTTGAATTGTTACATATATATAACAATTCCTATGTGTTATTTATCCACACTTCTTTCTCTATCATTTTCTATATTTTTTTTATGTGCATCTTAATATAATTTTACTTTCATAATGAAGACATAGGATTATTTTTTAAATTGTGATAATCACCATATGTAAAATTAAATTAATAACAGTAAAGATAATTATCAATTAATTTGAACTTATATTTAAATATATCTTTTGCAATCGTATTAATTTTTAGTATTACCATCCAATAAAAGTTAAGTTAAGTTGGATTATAACTTTTGTTAAAATTTCAATTGTAATATTCATTCCAAGTCAAAATGTCATTTTTGTTATCCTTATCAACCATGACTCTTATCCTTGCCTACTGGTGTCAACTTACATCCATCCGGATGATTGACATCTTATCACATGACCAACTGAACGAGTGATATGCACAAATTGAAATAATTCTAGCGTCCAAATTGTAGCAATGCTAAAAAAATAAATAAATTACTAATAGGTTCTAATAGTTGGACTTAATTCCCATAAAGTCCTATTGAAAATAAATCTTGATAAAATTGTCGCTAAAAATAATTTTTTTGTGATAATTTTTTATATATGTCACTAAAAATTAACAATTAGTGACTTTTTATCATGATTTTTATAAATTATCATTAAAATTTACAATTAATAACTTTTTTATGACAAATTTTTCTCATAAGACTTATTAATAATAAGGCCTAGTTTGGGAAGACTAAATAAGTGCACTTTTTGACTTTTTATGAAATATGTGTTGGGTTTGGGTTGGGTTTGAAGTGATGTGTTAGAGAGGTGATGTGACTTAAATAAGATGATGTGACTTAAATAGAATAGTGACTTTTTGACTTTTTTCAATCATGACAAACTTGGCCTAAGTCTATTTATTAAAACCTACACCCAAATATCCCCAAAAAAAAAAAAAAAAAAAGAAGCTTCATTTTCGGGCAAGTGTGTCACTGTTTGATGACTCTCTCTCTCTCTCTCTCTCTCCAGACTGCAGCCACTCTCATCATATAACGACATGCCAACCAAATCCATAAATAATAATCTCTATCTGTCTTCTCCACGCGTTTCTCATGTATGCTTCAAAATAAACCCAACCCAGAATTCATACAACTCCCAATCTTCCAGGGACCACAAAAACCCTAAATGCTCGCTATGCTTTCTTGTTAAAATCTTGGGTTTTCTTTTGTTTCTGTGTTCGTTTTACCATAATCAAATGGCTTCTAAGCCAGTTCCAAAAATTTTAATCATCTTCACGTTGACCTGTACACTAACAAGCACATATTCTCTTCCTTTTGTCGTCTTTCATGGTAATTTTCTCATCATTCTATATGATCTCTTTGATTATTCATGCCCACAATATGCTCTGTTTAATTTAATTAACAATTAAAGTATTGGGAATTGGAATGTGAAGATCACAGTGTGATGATCAAGTGTTATTGTTACTAAGTTGGTGTTGTTGGAATGTTACAATTTGGTTGGTTTAGATGTGGGTTTTTGAATTTTTGTATATTGGTTGTTGAAGCTTACTTTTTAGGGCCATTGGCATACAAACACAGAATTGCTTTTAAGCCACTGCATGGTTTATGATTCATCTGGTTGTGTTTCATGTTTTGTGTAGTGATTTCTGTTAGTTAAATAGCAATTCAGTATTGGGAATTGGAATGTGAAGATCATAGTGTGATGATTTAGTATTATTGTTACTAAGTTCTACTTGGACTGTTACAATTAGGTTGGTTTAGATGTGGGTTTGTTGGATTGGTTGGTTTAGATGTGGGCTTTTGAATTTTTGTATTAAAGCTCACTTTTTAGAATCATTAGCATTAATACAAATACAGAATTGCTTTCAAGCTACTACTAAGTTTATGAGTCAGCTGGTTGTGTTTCATGTTTTGTGTAATGATTTCTGTTTTTTTGGCCTGCTTCAAAAAAATTTAACTTGCATAATGTGCTTCCTATGAATTTCTATTTAAAAGAGAGACAGAGCATTTATTTTTAAATTTTTTTTCAAGAAGTGTGTTCATATGTTCCCTTGAATTACTTGTTTGATACGTGCTTAATTATGATGGTGGGTGATCTCATGGAACCAAATTTGTATTGATTTTGTGAAATTCCCATTAATATATACAATGTGTATCTATATATCTATATTTTATTATTTCCCATTCTTCCAACCCTGATAACATGTCACTATGTTTGAAATGCTTCAATGATTCAAAATTAGCTTTGGATTGGCACTAATATCTATGTCATAACAATAGTGATGTATGTTTTTTAATCCATATATTAATGTTTCGGTACCTATGATGATTGTGCTCTCCAATAGTTACATGGCATACAGATTCTACTCCTTTTACCTTCCTCCATACCCTGTTTCTTGGAAAATTTAGTATATTTTGATGTATACTTTTGGTTGATACAACAATGAAGATCTAATGATCTCTTAACCAGAAGAGCAAGGAAATTTGTTGTTATTATATAAATAAACAGATACATGGATAGTTTGAATTGATGCATTTATCTCGTTATTAAATAAGTTCCATGTAACCAATAGGAGGAGGTCAAAGGTTTAAGTCTTGCCACATGCAAGGCTAAGCAACATCCTCCAATTAAACATCCCCCCCCCCTTCAAAAAAAAAAAAAAATTTGAAAAGAAAAAAGAACCATGTAATTTTTAAAATTTGCTAGTTAATATAATTACTATCATGAAATCCCCTTCCTCACTTCTTTTGGTTCTGTCTATTTCTATCAGTAACTTGTTTATGGAGTGTTTGAGTCTACACCGTGTTTTTGGATATTTAGGATTGTGACTTGGGGAAATTTAGTTTTATGTTTTGTTAGTTTCAAGAAAAAACTCTCAATTCTTTAAAAGTGATTTATGATCTCAAGAAAAATATCTTGTTAGTATTTTTCAAAAACATGGCAAAATCTCATCGATTTGGTGTGATGAAGAAAGTTAATCCATTTTTTAAATAGATATCTTGTAAAGAAAATAGTGTGTATTATCCAAGTTGTCTCTTGAACATGGAAGAGGGGTAGCTAGCCTGGGTTAATATGGTCCTTACAGGATAGATCATATGCCTTCAGTGTGCATAGAAACTATGAGTTGGTTATGCCATCAAATTTTCTCTTCTCATACAAATTGTGGTTTCAACTTTGAATGTAACTGCAGTAGAAAGAAAGGAAAACATAGATATCAAATACTTACCTTTCTTACCTACTATGGCAGGGCTTTCAGAAAAATGCAGTACTAGAGGAGTCAAACGTTTGATCAAGCTTCTAAGCAAGTCTTCAGGTTCTGAAGGATATTGCATGTATGCTCCTATAATATTGTATGGTTGATGGGATTAAGGCTTTGTTGAGCTGAATTCGCTCTTTTTGGTTTTTGTTCATTTTATTTTAGATGAACATTCAAAAACATGTGTGACTGCACCTGCAAATCTTAATCCCAACTCACAAGCTGCTAGTGAGACTTGAAGATTTAATCCCAACTCCCATATGAATGAGGCAGCTTTATAGTTCTTATCTATAGGGGCAGTAGCAGATGGCTCCTCACATCTTTTGACAAGTAATGTGTACCACTAAAAGGTGCCAAAAGTGGATGCAACATGCACAAAGGATGTCTTGAAGGCCAAAACCATAGATCCCCTATTTAGACACAAAACAATTTACACTTTCTACAAAATGCAAAAATTTGTAGAGGAATGGATTTACTCCTTGTAGGTATTTTCTTTTTAGGAGATTGCTCAGTAGCAAATTCCTCTCAAACTCCTCACCGTAGAAATCTCAACAAAATGAAAATTAGTTTTGTACGCTCTCATAATTTTGACATCTGAAATGGTTTCAACACAAGGAATTGCCAGAAAGATTCATCCATGTACTTTTATTAGGTCTCTACCTCTACGATGTGATTTGAAACTGCTTTTTGATTTGTATGCTTTATTGTTCCTTAGTTGAATTCTCTTAAATATGGAATTAATTGTTTCCCTCCATGTAGAGAAATTGGAAATGGAATATGGGATTCTTGGTTTATGCCCCTACTGGAACAGGTGAATCTCACATTCTAGTGCAAACAGAGCTTGCCATCCGTTATGCTGTAATAACAAATTTTACCGGCAATTTAACACTTTTCTTGTTGCACTTTGTAGACTACAATTGCTTGTGAGAAGGTGGTAAAGCTGTCTGGTAATTTGTTTGCCTCCCTGAAATGGCGTATGTCGTTTAAATTTATTTTTTTCATCAGTTAGTTCCTTCTTCAACTTACAGGTGAAGGAAATGGATAAACTTAGTGAAGGTTACAACATAGTTGGACTTTCTCAGGTGAAATAGAAGTGGTTGTGAATGTTTTTTTCTCACATCGTAGTTTATATTTGATCAAGAGTCATTTAGTAGCTAGCTGTTCTCCTTAAGCTATGCCGAAGTCCTTATTTTGTCTGCTTACTGTGTTTTTTTATGTGTCTGAGTGTTTTGGGAATTATAAATCAGAATCTTTGCAAGAAACGAAGTTGGTTATATGTTTTGTGGCTTAATATTTCCAAAATGTAAGCATGCCAAAGATGAAAGCTTGTTGGCATTGTTGTAACTTGAGCTCAAAAGATTTGAAAATTTTCAAAATTCACCAACATTTGTGAACACATTCCTTATTCAAAAGGCTTACTGGAGTGAAAAATCCATGAAAGTGCATGAATATTTTGTTATAAATGGTGAAGTGTTTGCATGCATTACCTATTTATTTTGTACCTTGGAATGACAAACACAAATAAAAGAAGATACAACCTGAGGCAAAAATTTGATACAATAAAAAAGAGGAAGGATTGTATAAGACAATGTAATATTAAATGAAGTAAAATTTAACGTTTGGCGCTTCAGGAGCTAACAAAAACCTTTATTGAAAGTGTTTCAGTAGAACCTCCTGCTTGCCACCAACATAGGGGTAATAGTGCAGGACTGAGAAGTCTGAATTCAAGGGTTAATGTGGTTTCTAACTTTTTGGAAAATGACTCAAGGCATTTTGTTACTAGGGGCTTTCATCCAATGCTTATAACACTTCTCATTCAAAGCTCTCTAGGGACGATATGTCCTTCCACCTACATTGGGTGTAATGTGCCGATCCTAAATGGGTAGTGTGGCCCACTAGCATGCTTGACGCCCTAATTGTGAGCCAAAACACCTAGTGAATGAGTCTAGATATGAGGAGTCTTGAGGTAGGGCCAAGGGGACCACTGGCCAAGCTGAGTTGACCATGCCCATCCATGCACACTCAATAGTGTCATGGCTCGGCACCCCACAAGTAGGCTCAAATGAGCTCTTGCTAAGCCATGACCTCTCATACCTCATTCTTAAATGGCCTAAGAGGATTTTCCAAGAGAGCTGCTAGGCTGATCTGCTTGGTCACTCTTACTCGACAAGCAACATAGTCCAACTCTTGGCTTGACCATGTCCCGACTATGTCTTTCACCCCCACGCCGGGAGGTGATTTCGAGAATCAACCAACTGACAAATCCATAGCCCAGGTGACTTACAGCCTCGACAGCCCAACCTCTTCATTCATTACAATAATGTGATTCCATGTCTCTGATGATTCGGCCATGTACTATCATCCTCTTTATTGCCATCACTTTGGCATCCTAGGTATGCACCCACTATTTGGGATTGTTAAGAGGATTTTGGCTTGGAGGCGTTACAGCGATTCCGGTATTTCCTGTTGTTGTTTAACTGTAATCCGGACTCGGTTCCGTAGATTTGTTGTTGTCTTATCCTCTTTTCTATCCCTTACTCTTTGTTTTAGAGTTTTGGGTTGTGTTGGGCAAGTTGGGAATAAGTTGGTTGTGTTTTAAAACTTAGAATTTTGCCCAGGTCTTGGTCTCTCCGCTCGAGCGGCGCTTTGACGCTCGAGCGGGCATTTGTTGTTACCTCTCCGCTCGAGCGGTAGTTTGGACGCTCGAGCGTGAATTTCCTTCTCTCAGCATTTTGGTCGTCTGCAGAAAATTCTGGGAGGGTGTATCTGGCGCTCGAGCGGATCTTTAGACGCTCGAGCGTGAACCTGTGTCTGACGCTTGAGCGGGGTGTTTTACGCTCGAGCGGACATGTTTTATATTAGTCTGTGAAATCACTTTTTGAATCACTTTTCACTTTTCTTTTCTCTCTCCTACTTTCCCAAAATCAATTTTTGAGAGCTCCTCACTCTAAAACCTAAATTCTCTCTAGGGTTTGATCTAGTAGGAGTGTTTTCCTCACCTTGGGCCTTTGTAAGAAGTGTGTTGATCGTCGAAGGTTTCGTTTTGATCCAAGAAATTTAGGATTTGGAGCACTTCCGAGTTTTGCTCTTCTTCTCCTTGGATTCTACGTTTGAGGTAGGGATTTCCTTGTTCTTTTTCAATACTTCGCGTATAGATAGACATGTGGTAATTTTGTATTGCATGAAAATCATATCCATGTTGGATTTGTTTGAAATCATGAGAAAGAACCTAGGGTTGGTTGTTTGAAAATGGTTGTATTATCATTGATGGTTGTTTTGGGCTAATTGAAGTGTAAATTAGCATGTTATAGTTGAAAGAAGAAAAGCCCTAAATTATATTTTGATTTGGTAAATTAAAATGGAGGGTAGTTAACCTATGTTGTAAATCTCTATCGTTATTGTGAGTTGGGTGAAGATGTTAATGCCTAAAGGATTAACCATGGCTCTGGAATGGGTTTGAAATGAATATAATGGACTAATATGAGTTATGGCTTTATTATCCACGGATTTGGTTTTGTGACAACAAAAGGGACGGAGTTGGTTTTGTGAAAACAAAAGGAAATGGAACTTGTTTTGTGAAATGGGAAAAGTATTTTTGAAATACGTATGAAAATTGGATTGTTGTTTCTTGAGTGTTGAACACACACATGTGAGAGATTGTATCTTTAACTACCATATTAATGTTGTTGTTGGGTTTGTGGTCTCATAGTAATTGAGTCTTTAATAGATGTACTAAATTTTTGCATCTAGAGGTTTTGTCCTTGGTCATCGGTGGAGGATGACACGGATGTGTTGGATTGTTGTGTATGCGTTATACCACTGTTGATTGAGCATTGTATGTGATGAAATACTGAGATACATTATATATGTATACTTGCTCGGGAGAAATTAGTTATGTGTTCATATACTTTAACACATTGCTTGTATCTTGATGGTTTATGTATGTGTGTTATACATGTTAGTTATTATGTTTTGGTTGGTGGTGTTATACCTTGCGCTAAAAGTCAGAGGTACCGTGACCTTCCAGCTAGTGCCTGGAGGGCTGACTGCGCTGAGAATCTAAGGCACCATATCCTTCCAGCTAGCGCCTGGTAAACTGGTATGTTGTTGTGAGAGGTGTATCTCTGGCTTACTACGCACATAGCTAGTAGAGCAAAGTTTTGTTGTTGATGTTTCAGTGTGTCTGGGAATATCATGGATTGTGTCGGCTACAGTTTAGGAGGGCTGAGTTGCCTCATTGGTTCATCATATGCATGTTAGTGAGTTGTTATCTCCCTTTTTATAACGGTGCATGTATAGATTTGATTGTATCGGGAAGAAGCCAAAATGCCTTTTTGTCTTTTGGAAAGTGGGAAGGAGAACGGATTTTTTTTAAAGAAATATATGTTTTGAAAAGGCACATCTGTGTATGTTTGGAAAATGGAAGAGAGTAGTAGGCTTAGTGAATTTATTTCCTAAGGAATTGTTAATGTCATGAAAGATTGGGAACGGGGGTTAATGAAAAGCAAAGAAAATTTAATCGCCTATGGTGTTGATTGAAATGGTTGTTTTCGAGGAAAGTTCATACTTATGTATATTTTGTACAAATTGTCACATTATTATCCTAGTATGAGATTGAGCATTCATGAACATAGCTATCTGTAAGTTGTTATTGTTGAGGGCCATGTTGAGATCCCTACTGGACTATATGTTCATCCCACGTTGTTGAATCTTTTTCAGGTGTTTAGCTGAATGTGCTGCAAAATTTGGATCTTCTTATTTGTTGGCCACGGGGCCTCTCTTGTATTGGCGGAATGCTATATGTGTAAAAGGGTTGCACCCTTCTTCTTGATTCGTTAATGATGTAAGCCCATGGGCAATTTGTTTATTATACTCAGGTTGTATTTACTTGCATACGAATAAGAGCAATGTTATTCACTTCTACGTGAATATATAAGTTTATTTCCGCATGTTATCTCTGAAATGGAATTAAGTAAATGAAATTGGTAATACTTCAAGTAATAAAAAGTGGGGCGTGACAGGCTAAGATCAAGGTCCTGCCAAGGTTGCCTGGCTTGCTCCCTAACGGGAGTATCCCCTCAATTTTAGAGAGGGATGCTGACCCAACGTCTGATGCCTCAAAAGAGGTATCATATCTATACCACCTATGTCATGCCATGATACTGTAAGATTTCTGAAGAATCTGTATATTCAATTGTGAAATTGATACAAGAATACATCAGTATATATAACAATCCAAACCCTAGAGCTGGAAAAGGAAACAAAAATATTAACTCAATCCCTGATATATTTAGAAAATATACTACCATATATACATAAACCTAATATTCTCACACCCCCGTTCAAATTCAAGGCGTTTTAACAGAAAACGTTGCGAGGTTGCCAAGAAGAAACTGAAGCCGAGCAGTGGTGTGAATCTTGGTAAAAAAGTTAGCAAGTTGCAGAATCGAAGAGACAAAAGGAAGCGAGATAGAGTCAAACTGCAAATGTTGACGGACAAAGTGACAATCAATTTCAATGTGCTTCGTCCTCTCATAGAAGACAGTGTTATGGGCAATCTGAATAGCATTGTTGTTGTCACAGTAGAGGGAGGTCGGAGAAGACTGAGGGACACCCAAATCAGACAAGAGACAACGAAACCAAACAGTCTCAGCAGTAGCATGAGCCATAGTATGGTACTCAGCTTTGGTAGTGGAACGAGCAATAACAATTTGTTTTTTGCTTTTCTAAGAGATCATGAAATCGCTAAAAAACATATAGAAACCAGACGTGGACTTGTGATCATTAATATCACCAGCCCAATCAGAATCAGCATAGGCCACCAAGTCTAAAGAAGAAGTAGAGGATAGTAGTAAACCTCGAAAAATAGTACCTCGGAGATAGCGAAGAATCCGAATTAATGCAGCCCAATGGGTGGATCGAGGAGCAGAAACAAACTGGCTAACCACATAAACAACGTAGGCAAGATTAGGACGAGTAACAGTTAGATAGACTAAGCAACCCACAAGCTCTCGATATAAAGTAGGATCATCTATAGGAACACCATCAGTAGTGTTGAGCTTCACATTAAGCTTAATGGGGA